CTAGGGTGCATCCCCGGGACCACTCGGGAGCTAGGGTGCATCCCCGGGGCCACTCGGGAACTAGGGTGCATCTCCGGGACCACTCAGGACTAGAGTACATCCCCCTGAGACCACTCGGGAACTAGGGTGTATGCTCGTTCTCTCTAAATCTCATCTTGTAGAGATGAGATTGTCTTCTTTAAGGCTTGGGATTGAACATTATCATAGAAGCTCCAGCTTGTCCTCTTTAACGTAGAGCTTTGCTCCCCTCCCCTAACACCTTACTAACTTCTAAAAGGCATGTCGCCATACTTATTATTTCCATTTTGCTCTTGGGAGCGGTAAGTTCCCTGAGAGCTATACCTGTCCCTTTATTTATCACAGTGCCTTGCAGGTCTGTAGAAGAGACAGTCAGCATGTCTTTTTTGAGTGAATGAAAATGAGAAAGAACTGACCATTGCACAGTGGACTGTAACAGCAGCAATGCCACACACACTGGCCTGTGACCTGTGACCCTACGGATCACACTGTCTACAGCAACACCACACATCAACCTGTGACCTGTGACCCTACGGATCACACTGTCCACAGCAACACCATACACACTGGCCTGTGACCTGTGACAGATGATACTCCAGATATTGACTTAACAGAAATGTGCTTCTGTAGAAGTTTTTTTTTAATGTATATACAGACATTTTTAAACTGAAGTTAAAACTTAGCGTAAGAAATGCTGTCCGTTAAGTGGCTGGTTATGACATGTCCAGTCAAGGTAATGCAGTTAATAGGCTCGGTAGCAGCTCAGCACATCCGTCCTCAAGTCTCTGGCACTCCCAGTTAGCCCTGATCAGATGACAGACACAAACTGTGGCGCCAGTCAACAAATTTAACCTTATGTCCATTTTGTTACTTGTAGAATCTTCAAGAATTAAAACCACTGGATCAGTGCCTGATTGGTCAGACCAAGGAAAACCGAAGGAAGAACAGATACAAAAATATCCTTCCCTGTGAGTTCCATTGTAGCTCTGAATGTGTGTTCCCTGTGAGTTCCTGTGTGACTCTTATTGAGTGTGTGTGCAGTGTGAACTGTTAGCCTGCTAGCCTGACACGTAAGTACATGCATGCACACAGAGGCAGAGCGTCTCACTGGTAACAAGTCTGTAGGTTACAGCGCAAATGCCCTTTCCCGTGCTCTGAGGCTCTGGAGCTCAGTATGGCCATCTTGGACATTTGGTGCGGTAATCCTGACGTTTTCAAAACCATTTCTTAATTAGAAGTCAGTTGGTGATACCTAATCAGTAATTCCAAGTTCATTGGCAAGCGTGAGAGAGCTCAGTTGGTAGAGTGTTTAGAAGTGGAGACACACAGCTCCTTGAAGCTTGCTCTCCAGCCTACTCAACCTAATCAGCGAGACGCGGGTCCCAGCGAGCCACCCTGTCTCAGGGGAAGATGGTAAAGGACACCTGAGCTTGACTCTGCACACACATGTGCATGTGAACACATGTATACCTGTTCTTACACACAAAGCATGTATATTATTCATATTTATATACATTTTAATTTCTTCCTAATGATCATCCTTGGATTTAACCATTAGCTCATTCTACTTTAAGTTTACAGACATGTAAAGAGCAGCCATGTGCATGCATGTGTCTGGTAAACTGTCATGTTATGTGAACCTTTCATTTGTGCCGGAGTCTAGAAGGAGATAAAAGGAATGATTTCAACCCGTTTTATTAGCCAACAATGATTTTCTTTTCAGTGCATGTGTGTGTCCCCAAATTTTAACTTGACATCTTCTTCCATATTAACACTTCGTGTTGTAGCGTGTGACACTGATCCTGTCATCCCTGCAGCCCAGAAATGGCAATCTTGTCACATATAATATGCAACTGAATTTTTCAATCAAAATGAAAAATGTAAAATTCATTCTGGAAGCTCTCTGTAAAAACAGAGAGTAGCCTGGCATGGTGGCACATGCCTTTAATCCTGGCACCCAAGAGGCAGAGGCAGGTTGATCTCTAAATTCAAGGTGATCTGCATAGTGAGTTCCAGTACAGACAGGGCTACACAGAGAGGCCCTGTCTTTAAAGACGCTAAGACAGTTTTATAAATGGAGCATTAGGTACACAGCGGTTGCTATCGCTATATGAGACAAAGATACATTCAGATTTGTATTTTGAAGTCAGAATGTGACAAACTATAAGTACAAAAGTAATCAGTTTATTGTTAGGAAGTAAATTGTGAACTAAGAGATAAAAGTCAAGCAATAAATTTTGAAACCTATTTTTAGAGGTTTTACCTTGATTGCCACCAAAATGACTTGTTAAATTTATAAATATTGAAAATAAGAATGAGGCCAGCACAACAGGCAAGGATACCAACCCTGGTGACCACATGGTGAAAGGAAAGAGACAACCTTGTCATATTGTCCTCTGACCTCCACGCATGTGACACGCTCCCCCCAAAACACACACACACATAATACAAAATGACAAAATCAAAAGTGTATCTCGGGTCTGCGTGGGAGTTAGATATGTCAGAAACGCTTGGATGGATCATTTCTATGCTAGCTTCATTCTGTGAAAGTGTTTGTCCCATCATTTGAGACTGTTGTAGTTGGTATAGAGATATTGACAGGGAAGTAATAAAGATGCTTGTGTTTGTTTCTCCAATTGCCTACTATGAAGTTCTACTTATATTAAGTTTAATTTCAGTTGCGTATGATATCACGTTAAGTATGCATTTTACTCTAATATATACAATATAAAATATATCTTAGCACATCCCAGGGTTCATAGAACACCACCAAGCTAACATCTTAGATACATGAAACAAAAACATAAATGTAACGTGGACCACTGCCATTTGAAAATGTCCTCTGTGTTTTCATGTGGGGGCGAGTCCACAGAGGGCTCCAGGAGCTATCATGGCCTTGGACTGCTTGTTTGTGAAACTCACGGTGCCAGTGCATGGTCATGACATGGACCTTTCGCTGTGGACATTCGCAGATGACACCACGAGAGTGCCTCTTGGAGATGAAGGTGGCTACATCAACGCCAGTTTCATCAGGATCCCAGTGGGGACACAGGAATTTGTCTACATCGCCTGCCAGGGGCCTTTGCCCACTACCGTGGGGGATTTCTGGCAGATGGTTTGGGAGCAGAACTCCACAGTGATAGCAATGATGACCCAGGAGGTGGAAGGAGAAAAGGTCAAATGCCAGCGCTACTGGCCGAGCATTCTCGGCACGACCACCATGGCCAATGAGAGGCTGCGCCTGGCCCTCCTGAGGATGCAGCAGCTGAAGGGGTTCGTTGTCAGGGTGATAACCCTGGAGGATATTCAGGTGAATCATCTTTGCTTTCTCAGAAAGGCCTGCACATTTGCTGGGATTGTTGCCATGGAAGCAGGTCATCTGCTGTGATTTTGTTTTTGAGACAATCTCACATAGCCTAGGCTAGCCTCAGAATCACTATAGAGCTACAGACAGCCCAGAAGTCCTGATCCTCCAGCGTCTACCTCCTGGCTGCTGGGGTGACAGGAATGTGAATTCAGTGGATTCCTTGCTTAGGAATAAATAGTGCATATTGGTTCAGAAGCTGTAACATACATAGAAACTTGCTTTCTTTTCTTCTCCCCCTAAGGTCCAGCATCTAAGTAGACTAATCCAAACTGTTTTTAAAACTCTGATTATCAATCATGCCTTGTGAAGGCAACTACCGTATTTCGAGTCTGTGGACAGTTGAACCATAATGGTTGTTGTTTAGACACTTCCCGCTACAGTTGTCAAACATGGTGGATGAATTTAGTGCAGGTTAGCTAAGTGACCGTCCCTCATACAAAGCCACCCTGTTTGTTTCTTCGGCATTGCACCCCTTGCTGGTACAACCCTTCCCAGAAATAGGAGCTTTGTGCCACCATGTTTGCTAAATAATAAAACTTAATGGAAATTCTCACGTAACGTTTACATGCCAACAGAAGAGAATCAATATATCTCCTTCTTTTCCTTAGAAAAGCCAAGAAAGGGACATAGCTCAGTGGGTAAAATGTTTGTCACACAGGCACAGGAACCTGAGTTTGGATCCCAGCACCCACAGATAGTGATGGGCATGGCTATGTCCCTTCAATCCCAGTGCTGGGGAGACACAGGATCTCTTGGGCTAACTGGCAGCTAGCCAATGCAGCTCAATCTGTGAGCTCACAATTAGTGAGTCTCTTTCTCAAGAAGGAAGGTAGAAAGCCATAGAGGAAGATCTGAACATCAACCTCCAGCCTCCTCATGTGCTTTCACATACATGTACCTACAAACATCTATGCACACTCACAGGCACAATATACATGTGGTTATAGAACTCACATCCCGGAGTGGATCCCAGGGGTTCAGCAGTTTAACAGCAGACAGAAGCCATTCCATATCTCATGAAGCTCGGTTCCTGAGTAGGAGAAGCTGGCGGTAGAGCGCTGTGGGGAAATCAAGCAGGGAAAAAACAGTTGACATACAGTGAGATGTAGGTTGTAGGTTCAGTAGTGGTTCAGTAGTAGGTCAATGGGGGCCTGAGGTGGCATTTGAGAAAAACTGAAAAAGATAATCAGGCCACAGGATCCTGGGGAAGGGGAGTCTTCACTGGGGGGAAAAACAGTTCTAATATTGAACATTTTCAGTGTATTTAATTTAAGTGAGCCCACAATAACTAGATAGGGCTTTTGCCTAGTCTACACGAGAGCCTGAATACCATCCCATCCTCTTGGACTATGGGGTGGTGTAAAACTAGAAACTCTCTTGATAAGGTTTTCTGTGCATTTCCTTTCTGTCAGTTGTGTTTTAAGTCACGGTGACGTCTTGCTGTGTATCTCTAAGTGGCCCTTCTCTCTTGGTCTGAACCCTGGAAATTAGGTATATTTTATCATGCCCAGCTTTGTGTATTTATGAAGCCTTTTTATTCCTTCCAGTTTTCCTTTCGCTCTGATCAATATACTCTTCAGATTTGAAAGAGCAATATAGTGAGGCACTGGCTTAGGAACGGTGTGACATTGTAACAGTGAGGCACTGACTTAGGAATGGTGTGACATTGTAACAGTGAGGCACTGGCTTAGGAATGGTGTGACATTGTAACAGTGAGGCACTGACTTAGGAAT